TAATCTAGGGATGGTGAGTGGTACACGAAAGAAGGAAGAAACCATGAGAAACGGCCCAGAACCCGAGAAATGGGACCCCTTCCTTGCCCGTTGATTTGAGCATTGATGCGACTCTCATCGCTGTGCCCTCTTCAACACTACGCTCTCTCACTATCTAATCACTCGCCACGTATAGACCTGCGGCGAGTGATCAGATGATCGGTGGGCGTGCACTGGCCACCGCGCCAAGATTGAGCCTTAATAGGTCGCCGAGGTCAACTCCTTTCGGTGCCAATTGCGCTTCAGTTCGCACCCTTAGGAGGTCCGCGGGTCCCTCAACTAGGTGAATTACTCCTTCTTCGACTTTCATTCTAATCGTGAATTCGTCCTTTAAGGCGACGCTGAACAAGATACCACCTAAGGTCTTTTTCAGCGTTTTGAGCCAGTAAAGCAGCTCCATATTCATGGCTGCGGACCCGTCAACCCCTAGGGGAAGGGATGGGCCAATGATTTGATCGCGTAATGTGCCTTTTAGGATCCTGCGACTCCTAGCAAAACCGAAGTGTGTGGCGCATTTCAAGGGCATTGGTTTTCAGTCATTCACCCTTTTGCAGCTGTGGGTGAAAGAAGAGCCCCATTCTACAGAACTCAATACATTCACCAGAAGGCATGATAAATGTGTGAAGCAAAATAGAAACGCACTTGATGAAAGCGAATTAATTACATTGCCAAGTGCTAGCAGTGATCTATTGATGGCTGCACCTTCTTTCAGACGTTGCCCGCGATTCTGCAAATAAGTAATCATTTTTTCGAAAGGCGAACTGCGGCCAAAAACAGCAGTTAACATACAAAAACAAGTAATCATTTTGTTCTGAATATTTCACACCCTTTCTCTCGAACGAAGAAAAATCACAGTTGAGTGAAATTGAAAAATGGCGAGTGACCGCTAAGCAGGGTCAACCGTCCGTTGGACAAAGTCCAACGCGACGACGTGTGAGAGTAATGCCGAGAGTGAACGTACGCACGGAGACACAGACGGCTCGCGGGTGGCGAGAGTGAATGCCGGCGCGGAGAGCGGTCAACGTCGGTCCAACGTCGGTCCAACGTGACGGTTGACCCTGCTTGTCCCCGTCCAACCCCCTATGAAACATGTAGAAGCGAAGGGCTTACTGCCACCACGAAGACTACAACGAATTTGATAATCAAGTTCTGGACTTCGTTATC